TAGTAGGTGTTCAATAAATATTTGTTGGATGATACATCAAGTGCAGACTACAATTTCAAGGTGTTCTTCCATGAAGGAAAGGAAATGAGATTCCATACTTTCATTGCATCGAAGATTTCATTAACTTTGAGGGCAGTTATGTCACACTGTTGCTTCATATAAATGAGATTGTGGTTAACCAAAACTGCCAGGTCTTTTTTTTTCCACATGATCTACTGTTAAACCAGCTCTTCCCCATTCTACAGTTATGCAATTGATTAAAAATACACATACATACACACACACACGCATACATACACACATATGTGTATGTGTGTGCAGGTGTGCGCACGTGCTTGTGTGCAGGAATAGCCTCACAGAATTTCAGAGCTGTGAAAGATCTCCTTGGCCATGTAGTCCAACCCATATTCACAAAAGGATCTATGCCACCCTACAACCAATAATAGTAATCCAACCTTTGCTTGAATTCTTTCTGTGAGGGAGAATGTACTACCCCCTGAGGCAGCCCATCTCATTTTTTCTATAGTGCTGATTGTTAACATCCAGCCTGTATTCCATACACCTTAAGCATAACCTGGTACACAGTGGGTACTCAAGCACTCGTGCTTGATTGAAGCCTAACTTGGCCTCTTTACAATTTGTACGAAGTGCTTCTAGTTCTGTCTTCTGATGTCCAACATTAAGTCTAATCCTTTGTCAAATTAACCTTTAACATCCTTGAACACAGCCATCAGTCAGCATCCCTTCTCCCCATAGTCTCCTTTTCAACAGTCTTAACTTCTGGTTAAACATCCCTAGGTCCTTCGACTTATTCTCATCTTTGATGGATTCATGTCCTTTTACCATGCCTCTTTACCGTTCTGATTTCACTCATCTAGAACCTCTCTATCCTGTCACTGTCCTAAAGGACAATCCCAGGAATTGAACACAGTACCCCAGATATAATTTGGCCATAGGCAGAGTACCACAGAACTATTATCTCTGCTGACTGGTTCAGCGGTTATGTTTTGGCAGTTTTTTGGTTTTGTTTTTCAATTTTCAATACCCATGGGTGTAGTTCATCTGAATCAGTTACTATGTCCTTACATATATTGGATATTAATGCCCCATCAGCCATTTTTTGATCTGCCTTTCAATCCAAAGGTCACTCTCCATGGCCAAGAAAACTAAGTTAAGCTGCTCCACCTTTTCTCTGTTATCAGTTGTGGTTGATCCACCCATCCTGAGCAGTGGTGTACACCTTCTTTAACCCTCTTCCCCACAGCAGCAAAAAACAAAAGCAAAATCCTTGTCGATGCCCTTAGCTATCCTGGCTAGCCTTGCTTGGTCCTGAGCCTTAGCACTCTAGTAAGTTTTGATATGCATCCTCTAATACTCGTTCTTGCTCCTACCTTTTGAACATAATTTTTAAAAATCTAGGTTGGTGAGTTCTCTATGTACCCATGAGACACTTCATAAAATTCCCCTCGTAGAAATGGTTTCTTTTTGTGTCTTCAGAATTTCATCTTTGAAGTTTCCCATTCTTTTTGGACTGACTTTACCTGTGGAATTTTAGCCCATCTAATACAACCTATGCTTCCTTTGAACCCGCTCAAATCGTGCTTGTCAAGTCTCTAACACACGTCAGGCCATTCTACCTCCATAATGGCCCGGCCCTTTCCTACCATGGTTCCCATCATTTCTGCCCTTGACACCAGCTCTTACCTATGGATGAGAATCACAACCAGAACGGAATTCTCCTGTTAGTTTGGTCACATTTTGAAGGGTTAATTTATCATTAAGGAAAGACAAGAAGTTATTAGGTACTTTCCTGTTGGCAGGGAAGGAGCACTAGCCTGTGTTGGGATAACGGAATTCCTCTATTGGTACTGAAGCTTGCTTGTGTTTTTGTTTTTGTTCTTGGGTTTTTGTTGTTGTATCCCCAGTGCTTAGTACAGTGTCGGACATAGTAAAAACTGACCCGTTTTGTTTAATTGTTTTATAAATTTCTCATCTATTTCCTCTTCCCACCCAGGTAGTCTGGAATATTAACTGATAGTAAAATATCTTAATCTTTACCCAAATGATCTCCAGGCTTTCCTGCCTGGTTCCTGTATTTCCTCACAGGAGTAGACTTACTTAATAAAATATACCTATCCTACCTCCACTTTTACTTATTCTGTTTCTTTTAAATATGGTCCAGAGCCACATACTAGTGGTAACATTTATCCCTAGTACGTTTCATCTTGTACTTTGGCCTACCAGTTCTCTCCCATCAAGATGCTTTTGCATCTTGATTCTGTCATCTAATATGTTAACTATTGCCCTCTCAGTTTGAGTGACAGCCCTATTATAGGATCTCCAGGAACACATATGTATTAATGGGAAGGAAGAGGCTTGTGGTTTGTTTTTTATAAAAACTTAAATACTTAAACTTTGGATTTTAAAAATGGATCCAAACAATCTTCGAGTTCAATTTAACAAGTATTTTTGAAGGCCTACTTCAAGAAGTTTATAGTCTCTTTGGGGAGATAACACACGTGAAATACTACAAAATGGCATATGAGCAAGTGTTATAGGAGGTGGAGAAAGAAGACAGCAATGTGAGTTGAAATGGAGAAGACCATGAAAAAGGTGAGCTATGTTGGGTCTTGAAAATCAATAAACCTTAAATGCCTAGTATGTGCCAGGCACTGTGCTAAATGTTGGGGATACTGAAAGAGGCAAAAGACAGTCCCTGCCCTCAAGTACTTCATGGGGGTGACAACATGCAAACAAATATATACAAATCAAGCTATATACAGGATGAACAGAAAGTAATTAACAGAAGGGAAGGTAGACAAGGAAAAACTAAGCTAAAGGGATTTGATAAGTAAAACTATAAATGAAATGAAGTTGGTGTGTTTGGGGGATGATGAAGAGATTCAAAGAGTTCGAGTGATGAGTGATTCTAGAATGGGTCAGAGTCTGCAACACCTCTCTGCTAAAAACCTAGATAGTTGCTCTTATTTTAGTTCATTTGTCCTACTCAGGACTCTTTCTACTACATTGGTTGGAAAGGTGTATGTATGACAAGAAATTCTGTCCTATGACAAATCCTTTCACCTGTGTTTGCTTTTTGCATAGACTCCAAAAGCTGAAGAAGTGGCAGGTTTGAACAGCTCCAGTGGTCATGAATCATCCAGTGTATATAACATGATGGTAGTTACATCCCTTCTTCCACCTCCATTTCCTGCTTTTCCTCCTCACTGAATTTACTTTTATCCCTTTTAATTTATTCAATTTTTTTGCTTTTGCTTCCTCTCCTCCCTTTCTTTTTCTCTGTTTTCCTAACTTTCCTACTTTGGGTCCCTTTTCTTTCCCTTCTTGATTAAATTCCTAAAATCTCCAACTCATCTAGTTTTGCCATGAAGCACATTCGGAGCTACGAGGGTAGATAAGTTAACTTAGTTCCTCAAAAGCTCCCCCTCTTTGCTACTAGTACTTCCACTTCACTTTGTGGTTTTTTAGTTTTGTTTTGCCTAACTCCCCCCCCCAGCTAAAAATGAAGGTAGAAAATGAACACTACTTACTGCTAGAACGGTGATGATTTTGCCTAAGGATAGGGAGAGTCGGAAACATCCTGAGAAAATTGCAGCTACTTCAGTAGGTGTGTTTCCAGTAAAAGGCAGTTAAACATTAGTTTTGAAATCTGGTCTTCTATAATGTGTTACAACATGTTTTATGCAATATAAAGTGAAAAAAAGACTAAATCTCATTAGCACAGCGGATGAAAGGAGGAAAAGGATTCAATCTATTTTTTTTAACCCTGCTGATTGGATAAATCCAAACACAAACCTCTTTCAGTAAATGCCTGAGGGATATAGTCAGTCTATAAAGTCCTCACCACATGGACAAAGAAACCAGTCACCTCTGGTTTTCAAAAAGACAAAGGAAGTAGTAATGGGAGGGTTTGGGGACTGGAGAGGTAAATGAGGCATTGGTTAAGCAATTATTGTTAACAGCATTAAAGGAGGGTGTTCTTGATAGCCTTTGTATTGAATGTTCCATTTTCTAACTTGTGGGTGGGTAGGAATCATATCCTGCACATTAAACAGTACTTTAAAACGTAAGTTATAAGGCGTCTGGACGGAAGGACACGCATCTTAAGCAGTCATTCCCAACAGGATCCTAATCTGCGCATCCTCTCCAGGGAGCCGGCTTCTAGGGGGTGGGATGAAGGGTGTCCTGGGATCCGGCTGGGCAGCTGCGGAGGGGGCTGGGCACACAGCTCTCGGGCTGGAGGAGCTCGGGGGCGGCCAGAGAGGCGGGCAGGAACGCTAAGGGCAGGGTCCGGGGGCGCTCCAGGGGTGACCCTGCACGCCGCCAGGGAAGGCAGCGGTCACAAGCCCGCAGGGGAATAACGGAAGAGAGAAGGCGGCCGTGTAGACAGACGGCCTGCTCTTTAACCAGTGACCCGCCCCCTGGTACCGGTCACCCGCTCAGCTTCTTCCGCACGCCCTCCGTGATTGGCCGCAGCTGCGCCTCGGGGCGGGCTGTGGAGGACAATTTCTCCCGTAGATTGGCTGCTTGACGTTTACTCAGAGTTCTGTCCGGGGAGGGCCGGCCCTTTGGAGGGGGAGGCCTCCTCCTATTGGCTCCTGACCGTTTCCTTGGGGACGTGGCGCCGCGGCCGGCCTGGGCTCTCCTGGGCCTTCCTTCCGGCCAAGAGTCTGAAAGAAGCGGCTCGGTCGGGGCTGCGAGACCTCGAACCCCTTGAGTCGGCGTTTGAGCCGCAGCGTGGGGACCCCCGGGGGCGTGTGGCTGCCTGCGGGAGAACGAGCCCCGGCGCCGACGAGGGAGGCAAGCCGTGGGGAGGGGGTCGCCAGCGGGCCGGGGGAGGCGCCGAAACAGCTTCCCCGAGGAGCAGGAGGGGGTGCTGCCGGAGCCGGAGCCGGGCCGGGCCGGGCCGGCGGGGCTCTGCGGCCCAGGCCCCTTGCCAAGCCCTCCCCCTTCCAGGCTGGCGCAGACGGAGATGCCCGGGACGAGGAAGCCTCCTTGTCAGGGGAAAAGGAAAAGGAGGTGACAGGGGCTGAGCCCCCCACCCCGCCCCGAGGGAGCCCATGGCCAGGTGTGTGGGAGTGTGATCGAGAGTATATGTGTGTCGTAGGTGTGACTGTATCTGTGGGGTGTGAGATAGTGTGCGTGACTGTGGGAGTGTATATTGTATGATTGTGGGTGTGCACGCATGCGAGACTGTGTATGTGATTGTGTGTGTATGTCAGTGTGAGTTGTGTGACTGTGTCTTTATGTGTGTGCCATCACCTCGGACCTCCCACCTTCTGCCCCCCCCCCCCGTCTCCCCAGCGAAAGCTACAGTCTTTAGCCCGGCATTCAACGTCCCTTTCAGGGTCAGCCCCAGCTTTTAGCCTTAGTACAGAGCCCTTCTGGACTGGTCTCCAACCAAGCTGTGCTGTTATTAGCTGTTAAGCTCTCATTGCCTGTGCATGCATCTTCTGGCCTTTGCTTATCCCAGGTCTGTGTCCGGACTCTGTCTTCCTTCCTCCTCCTCCCCATCCCCCCATCCCACGGAGCTCATGCCCACCCCTTGTAGGACCTGCTCACTTACAGCTTCCTCAGTGGGTCCCCATGCTTCCCCAAGCCAAGGGATCTCTTCCTCTGAGGCTTCCTCTGAGCTTTTGTTTGAAGCTCCCCTGAGAACCTTGTAGCACCCTTTTATGTTACCTGTTTAATTGCTCCTATTAAAATATGAGCTCCTTTCTTAATGGCAGGAAACTTTTATCTTTGTATTCCTCTCACCATCTGGCATGGATGTTTAAATTAAATGCTGTTTAAATTGTTGAGTGTGAGAAATCCACTAACTGGACAAATCTGTGTGCCTACTGCTTATGTTGAAAGTTTAGGGAGTAAGTAAGTAGGCAGGCAGTCTAGGGCTCTGCAAGTACATTATGTCGTATTTGTTACTCAGTTATACCAGAATGTTGTATCCTATGCCAGGATATTACAGGTCATGTAAAATGTTTTTTTTTCCCCCTGGCCTGTAGTTTAATTAGTGTAGTAGTATGGTGCCTGGTAAAGAAACCCCTTTTACCAAATGCAGATAGGCATTAGCAAATTCTTGCTAATTTTTGTTTTAGAGAGTTGCCTGGGATCTTTAGGTGGTTAAGCGACTTGCCCAAGCTCTCCCAGTCAGTATATGTCCTAAGTGTTATTTGAAACTAAGTCTTTCTGACCCTCCAGGCTGACTATGGTACACAGCCTCTCCCATTCTTGTGGGCAGGAAGATTGTAATGGCAGTACTTTGTCCGGCTATGATTCTCTGCTCTGTAAAGTAGATAGATGTGATATTTCAGCATTTGGTGTTAACTAGAGCTTTGCAAATACTATGTAAATGTTAGTTATCCTCATCACCACATATTACCACACTGAATTCTGTCTGGAAAAATTGTCTGGAATCCTGAGTCCTATTCTGTTGCATAAGGACAGAAAGTTAATCTTAGAGTTAAGAACTTTTTTCAAGACTTTCTGGGGAAGGATGAAAAAAAGACTTTCTTGCTTTTCTAGCAGCTTGGTAGAAACATTTAATTGCTGTGACTATAATTTCATTTTGTGAGGTTATCCAGGGAGATGAATGATCTTCTATTTAGTATCACGGTTTTGATTGCTTAAATTCCATCCCTCCAATTACATTCAAAGTGTACCAGGTGGTCCATGCAAACTTTGCAGTGCCATTCAGTACATTTAGATCCTATTAGATGTCTGCTTGTTGATCTTTTAGCAAGGACTTTGATCATGCTGTAGTGTGAGTTAGCATTTTCTGTTGTCATCAACGAATCATAAAAATTTTTTTTCTTTACTAATGGTTTTTTAATTTCAGGATTAGTTTTTCATATCTCTGCCCGGCTTCCTGGTATTTTACTGTACCTACAGTGAGTCCATTTGCACGTCAGCGGGTAGCCTTTCTGGGACTTTTCCTCATATCTTGTCTCCTTCTACTTATGGTTGTAGTGGACTTTCGACACTGGGGCTCTCCCTCACCTCAAGATAGACAATATGAAAGGTGAGTTAACTTCAGTTTATCAATGTAAGCTTTGTCACTGAGGTTAATATTTTAAGAGCAAATGGCTTAATAAGCCATTCAACTTGTTATGCCTCTTGATCTTTTCTAGGGGTGCTTAAAAAAAAAGTAAAATTTCATGCAATTTATCACACAAATGTTAAAACTCATTTTTTCAGGTTAGGGGTTGAGGTTCAAAATTGTTTATACTGTTTTACCCTCATGGAAAAAGGTCAGGAAAGACCATATTTAACTTTTTTTTAATAAAGAGTGCATTTTTTATTGTTTGCCATAATTGTATTACATATGATCTTGAAGGTCCAGCTAGGTAGCGTAGTGAGCGGATAGAATTTAGATTTGAAATCAGGAAGGCCTGAGTTTTAGTCCTTCCTCAGACAGCTTTCTAGGTGTTTGATGCTGAGCATGTCAGTCTCAGCCTTAGTTTACTGGCTTGTAAAATGGAGATCATAATGAATTGTTACATACTTTACACCTTCTAGTGTTATATATATACTTTATAGCAGTGATTTGTTTTGATGTTTTATGGTTTCTGATGCAGTAAAAAATTAAAAGTATTCTTTGGCATATTTAGATGTTCTAGTCATTTTCAAAGCCCCCTTTTTTTTCTGTCAAGGAACACTTTTGAGGATATTTTATTTAGATAACGGGGCCTTATATTCCTTTGTTAAATTATTTGAATCTTGCACAGATGCCTTTTTTATTCCCAAGATAAAAAATCATATTGTAACTTCATTTTTTATTAATACTATCTTTTGTTTTTTATAGTACTTTCATTTTAAAATATATACCCCTCTTTCCCTAAGCAGTGAGCCATCCTTTGTAACAAAGATTTTTTAAAAGAGACAAAAAGCAGTTCAGCAAACCAGCACATCAGCCGTATCTGACAGTGTATGCAGTATTCCACACCCTGCTTTTGCAAAGAGAGGACAGCATATTTTCTCACTTTTTCTTCAGGTCCAGGCTTATTCATTATAGTTACAAAATGTTCTGTTTCTGTTTTTTATTATGTACTACTTCTGAGAGGTACCATAGTGATACAGAACAAGTTCTAAGACAGAAGTCCGGATATTTGGGTTCTAGTCCTTGTTTCAGTTACTTCTAACTTGATTTTTTACTTTGGGAAAGTTACGTAAACTCTTTGGCCTCAATTTCCTTTTCTATAAAAATGAAGGTTTGGCATTAATCCAATGCTAAGCTTTTAAACTGTAACCTTTTATAATTCTGTGAAATATCCTTGTGTTTTACCTCTTGTACAACCTGCTGCCACAAGAGGTTTTTTGTATTACCAGTCCCTTGCTAGCCCTAAAATCAGTAGAGGCTGCTCTCTGAAACTTCTCTTAACATTTCTGAATTATTGTACTTAATTTTCTCTTTCTGAAGCCTTACCTCCATGAATTTATCTTCAGGCTTCTCGTTTATCTTCTTGGAATATTGAACTTTTAAGGGAGGAAAAGGGCTTGACTTTATGACAGGATGATCTTCTAGTCTGATTTGTGTTATATTATTATAACAGGTTTATTCACACTGTCATGGGAAGCTTATATTCAGAGTTTAAGAATTATTTTAGTACTTCTTTAAACCATTTATCTGTGATTTCCATTGGATTGATTAGTTTTATTTAATTTTGCTAAGTTAATCTGTGAAGGTTTTTATGGAGACCTCATAATTTTGGACCCCTACTAAAATTATAGAATTATAGAATATTAGAACTGAAAGTGATGTTAGAAATTGTCTTGTCCCAAACCATTTGCTTTATAGAGGAGGTAGCAGATATGAAAAAGTGAAGTGTTCTGCCCAAAGTCATACATCTAGTTTTTAGCAAAGGAACTAAACCCCATATTTTCTGGTCCTCTTTCTTTCCACTGTTCTACCCAGGCTAATGAGATTTCTTGCTTTGTTAGTCTGTGGTCTAATGAGAATTCAAAAGTTTTATTAAAAAATAAAAGTTAAACACACACTGTCTCAAATAGGTAATATCTCATTTATTTGGTGGTTACTTATTTGACACCCTCACCTTTCTGACAGTTTGGAAAGGCAATGTGGCATACAAAAAAGAATACTAGTCTTAGATGTGGGAGTCTGATGTTTGAATCCTATTGATGATACACTAACTGTGTGACCAGGAGCAAGTCATTTAACTTCTGTAAAACGAGGATAATTTGTATTACATGTCTGGTAAGTTTGCTGTTAAAGTTCTTTTAAGTTATGTAAAGACAAAAGAAACCTCCCCAAAAAAGTATTCTTTTTTATAAAAGAAAATTTATTTGTAAACCTTAAAGTACCATATGAATGTGAATTTTTATTATCTATTATCGGTAATAATGATGAGCATCCCTTCCACAGAAATCCTACTCTGGTGCTTCATTGGGGTATGAAGGTGACTGAATTCTAAAAGCTATGCCAGCAGAGTGAAAGGTCTGACAGGTCCTACTAAGCTGAAAACCTTAGTGGCAGACCAGTGCTGACAGTTTGAGGTCCAGCCTAGCTAAGTATGGAGATGCTTATCACCAGTTAGGTTGCCCACAGCACATTTTTCTTTTTTAATGTTAAAAACGAAAATTTCTAATGTTCCCATTCCAGTAGCCTCATTTTTTTCTTAGAGGAGGAAAATTCTTTGTAGTTTGAAGCACTGCTTTGTTTTATGAGGCTGCTTGTCCTTTAGCTAGACAGAGAAATCTTTTTAGTATTTCCTATGTGACAGACACCGTGCTAAATCCTGGGAGTACACGTACAAGCAAGCAAAAGGACCCTGCTCTCCAGGAGCTTACAGGACTCTCAAAGGAGGGACTTTGGTGGGGGAGGGGTTGGAAGGTGGCAGGTGAGGAGTCTGCAGAGTGAGTCCAGGTTTGAGTGTCCATTGGAAAATGTTAATGCTTGACTAAGTAGGTGGTGGGGGCAGATGCTATTACCATGGATTCCCTTCTTAAGCATTCCTTTGACTAAGAAACAGGGTTGAGTTTCAAGAACGAAATGGAAATGAGAGATTCTTGTGAGCCTTTGGCACCATTACACCAGTCACTTGTGCTTATAACTTGCCAGTGCTCTTTGATGCCTTCTCCCTCACCTTTTACATCCATTGAGTTGAGAAGTTCTTTTGATTCTACTTCTTTGGTGTCTCATAGCCACCCTCTCCTTTTACATTCCTGCTGGTAGCACTCTAAGTCTTAAATTATCTCCCCTAGGCTGTTGCAACAGTCTCTAAAGCAGTGTCCCCACTTCCATTTTCTTTCCCTGATCCAGTTTTGCCTGGATGTTGTCTGACAAAGATATGCTCCAGTGAGACTGCATCAGTGGCTTCCATCTTCCCTAGTCAGTAAAGTCTTAATTCCTTAACTTGGTATCCAAGTTAGCTTTCCAGAGCAGTAGCTTACCTTTGTAGCCTTCTAGCCTATCATTCCTTATTCGAAACCTATTAGACCATTCATTGTGCCATGAACATGCCCTGTCTTTTCACACCTCCTTTTGTTCCTCACTTTTGAAGTGCTCCCTGATTTCTCTTGCCCTCTATCTCCACCTCTCAAAATCCTGTCTATCGTCTTTCGTGAAGCCTTCTTTGATTCCCTTAGTTAGAAAAGACCTTTATTTCCTTGAATCTCTCATAGGCTTTGTTTATTCTGTTATGAACTTAATATAGTCTATTTTGTACTGTAGTTATTTGTATATCAGTCATTTATCTCCCTACTGAAGTGTAAGGTCCTTGAGGACAGGGACTAGTGTCTCATTTGTCTTTGGATTGCCCTCAAACTTATCTTTAGAATTCTTTTAATGCTTTATACTTATTAGGTGCTTAGCATATTAATATTTCGTATGTGAATGAGTTATTATTAGCAAACTGTTATTGAATTGAGTTGAAAACCCAGCTATAGGGAACTTCTAGTTGGCAGAAAAAGAATCCTATCCCCTAGTAGCTAACTGAATTTCTCCTATTGGAAATAAAGACAGTTTTCTCAGATGATAAACTAAATCTTATTGGAGGTAACCTCTAATCTTCATAGGTGCTTTTCTGGGTACATATTAAAGTTCTAAATCATATAGAACCACTGAAGATGAGAGTTAAAAGAGCCCTAGAGATTTTTCAAGTGCAGGCTTCTTGAGTGAAAGTGGTTGACCCAGGGTCACCTGATCCAGTGGGATCACCTGGACTTGAAGCCAGGAGTTCTGACTCCCAGGTCTTGACTTCTTTCCATTTTACTGCAGCTTTATTTTTATTTATTTATTTATTTACATGTATAAAGCACTTTATATAAATTATTTCATTTGATCTTTACTGCAGCTCTGTGAGCTAGGTGGTCCTGTAAGAGAGTCAGTTTGCCATGGTGGATTCAGAAAATTGTAGGTTCAAATCCTGCTTCTGACACTTCCTAACTTTGTAATCATGGACAAGTCCCTGAGCTTCTGTTTCCTCATCTCTAGATTGGGAGTGATAAAATCTGCAGTTCCTACCTCATAGGGTTGTTATGACACCCAGATGAGGCAATCTTTGTAATGCCACCTTTTATTTGGTTGTTTTCTCCATTAGACAAAAGAAGAAACTGATGGAGGTTAAGTGACTACCTTGCCAGGGTTAGACAGTAAATGTGCATCATACTTTGAGCTACAGTGTGATTAGCTCTGGGTATGGAGAAGCTGAGCTCTACTAAGAGTGACAGTTCAGACTCACCAAGGAGCAAACAGGAAGGAGCTGCTTGCCACATGTTAACAAGTTGCCGCTTTAATTGTGTTTTCTACTATCATTGACTTCTGTTTGAGCCCCCAAAGCGGGGTATAATTGGTGTTGATTTTCTGTACTGGGTAATGGCTTAGTTTAATCCTATTATGTTTTCAGGATAATGGCACTAAAAAGCAATTGTCTTCCAATTCTGTGTATGCTGATGTATGAGTGGGCAGCTTTTCACTGACTCAGCTGAATAGAGAGAAATTGTGCTTTTCAAACTGCAACGATCAATGTCTTTTAAGGAAAGCCCAAGACTGCTTCTCTTTGG